TGTCAAAGTTATAATAAATGACATCTTATTTTTTTCTCTTAACATTTACCATTTGTATTGTACCTGTCCCCATGCTAAGAATTTTATGAATGCTATATTATTTAATCCTCACAATTAATGAAGTAGATATTATTCTATCAATCATATTTTACATGTGGGTTACTGGAGTCTTAGTTTAATTTACTCAAGTTCATTTTTCTAGAAAGATTGGAAATGGGACTTAAAGTCTATGTGAGTTCAAAGATATATCTACTCCATATAAAATGATAAAATACATTAGCTATAGTTTAGGATTATTTAGTCCTTACTATATACTGCATAGTGGACTAAAACTTTATATGCCTTATCTCATTTGGTCTTCATAACCACCTTATAAGGAAAGTACTGTTGTTATCTCCACTTAATGAATAACAAAATCTGATGTGTAGAGATGTTAATTCCATGGTTGTCGCATAGTAAATGGTAGAATCAGGGTTTGAACATACTTGTTGGATTCTAAAACTTCTGTGCTTCACTAATCCATTTTTTTTTTAAATCAAGAAGAACCAAATCTTAGAACAGTGGCTTTCTTTGCTGGCCGTGTATTGGAATCACCTGGAGATGCTTTTAAGAAAATCAATGCCAGACCTCACCAAAGATTCTGATTTATCAAGAGTATGGGCCAATAATTGGATTATGTTTAAAAGCATCTATCCATTCAATTTATTCATCAAATATTTAATATCTACTCTGTGCCAAACATGTACTAGGCATATGTGTTCTATCAAGATTTATCAGTTAGCTATTGCCACAGTGGTATGTAGCAACCACATAATCTCTGTGATATTAAGCACTTATATTATCACAACTTTGGAGGCCATCTGGGACTCAGCTGCTTAGCTCTATTGGGCAACTGTAAGACTGAGGTGGCTCTACATTTTTGCTCTAGGATTATGGGTAAACTAGGTGGCGTGCTTCACATACTCCTCCTTCTTGGACCAGTGGACTAGCTGAGGATTGTTTCTCTTAAGACTCCTCTCCTAATAGTGATGGAATTACAAGACAGGGAGAGATTCAAGATGGCAGATTAGAGGAAGGCTGCATTTCTAGTTGCTCCGTGGCTTGGAATTCAAGTAGCAGGAGTATTGCTTCTCACTGAGGTGGGTGAAAGAGCAATCTTGCCAAAATTCAATAATTGGACAGAGTGTCTTAGAGACTCAGAAATTCTGGCACATTGAACAAAGAAGAAAGAGTACATAAAATCAAACTGGTTGCAGCAGAGGCAGCAGTCTGGTTTACCACAGAGGGGACAACACAGAGAGAAACACAATAAACAGATTTGCTACAGAAAACCCTATAGATCAGAAAAGCAGCCTGAACTTTGTTGAACCGGAAACTGCACCACAAACTGATGTTTTAAAAGTGGTCTGTATTTTTTCAACTGGTAAGCGGAGAGCTGAGGCAGGAGCCATTTTGAGATAGCCATGTTGCAGCTAGCTGTTTCAGGAACCCAGGAGATCATAGCAAACATAGCCATATTCTCCTGGCAAGTGCCTACTGTGTGGCATAAGGTGTATCTAGTAGAAAACATGAAAGAAACAAGCACAGGGAAGATTGTTCCTGGGGGATTCAGTTAGAAAAATGAAGAGGAGCTCAGTTCACTTCTCCTTTGAGTCTGATGGCTCATGTGACCAGCTGAAGAGGCTATGGAGTCTGAACAGGTGGATGTGAATATACTCAATGACTAAGTGTGGATAGGCTGTGTTCATGGGCAGCAGAGTGTGTATAGGGTTGGTTTCCCTGCCCAGTAAGTAGAGTTCTTGGGAGGATCCTGAAATTCAGACTCCCATCAGAGATCAGCATCTGAGGGGGCCTAGGGGTGTGTTGATCTAATCTCTCCAGAGCAGATAGCATCCAACAAAACCCCTAAGGCCTGATTAATCCTACGCCCTAGCTGCCAGAACTTTCCTTATAGAATTTTGCAGCAGCCCCACTCTCGGAGTGCATCTGTCTCGTCTGTCCAGACAAAAATCCAATCAGCAGTACATACCACTTCATCTAACCTTAAACTGGTGAGAAGGGAAACTAAAAGCTATTTTAGATTCAATCCTTAGACACTTGAAATGGCAGCTTTGTGAGCAACACAAAAAGAGGAAGCATTTAATAACCCCCAGCCCTTGCATGCATACATACCCCCCACCTCAGTACAAAGCCCATATGACCCAGCTAGCTATACCACTTCTTGGTTTTCATCCTGAACAATTAAAGTCATCTTGTTACAGTGATAACATGTACCCCTGTGTTTATAGCAGCATAACCCACAATAGCCAAACTATGAAACCAGCTTAGGTGTCTGTCAATGGATGAATGGATAAAGAAAATGTGATATATATAAACAATGGAGTTTTCTTCAGTCATAAAGAAGAATGAAATTATGTCATTTGCAGGAAGGTGGATGGAAGTTGAGACCATTATGTTAAGCAAACTAAGTCAAACCCAGAAGGTCAAGGGTCATGTGTTTTCTCTCAAATGTGGAAGCTAGAGAGGAAAAAGGAAAAGAAAGGTTGAGGTGGATCTCCTAAAAATTAAAGTGGGATCTGTAAAACAATAGAGGAAAGTGACCAGGGGATGGAGGAGGGGAGGGGGGAAGTGCAGGGGAGTGATATTAGTTAAATTTATTATATTGTGTGCACATATGAATATGTAGCAACAAATCCCACCAGTATGTACAACTATAATGCACCAATAAAAATATGGGGAAAAAATGAATTTCAAGAGGGGGCATGTCCAATTATGGGTATACTGTTTTGGTCAAAGCAAGTCTCAAGGTTGAGCTAAAAGGAAAAAAAATAGAAAAATAAACCCCACATTTTTGTGTAGAATTGTAAAGTTCATGGCAATGACTATAATGCAGTTTAGGTGAGAAAAGGGTATCAAATATGCCAGGCATGTTATTAATAATAGCATTTGAGGGCTGGGGGGATTGTGGCTCAGAGGTAAAGTACTTGCCTGCCATGCATGAGTTATTGGGTTCGATCCTCAGCACCACATGAAAATAAAATAAAGATACTGTGTCCACCTATAACTAAAAAATAAATATTAAAAAATAATAATAACATTTGAGCAACAACACATTCAACAGTTAAAGAATGACATTCTCACCCAATACTCATACTCATAGTGCAAACCTCATCCTCCTGAATGTTGTGTTCTTGCCTGCCTCAGTGTTGTGACAGTGATCCCTAAACTGTGTCAAATTCTAAAACAAAGTGCCAGATAATCGATGGAAGATTTGCAGAAGAGGTTGCAAAAGCTGGTTTGCTCTATGTGGCCCATTACATACACAGGGCATACATGATTGATGAGGAGAAATTGTTAAATTAATAGGAAATATTTCTTTAGAGAGACGGTCATTGAACTACTGCAATGTTTCCCATCTTTTCCCTCTTTCTTTACTTAAAAGCTAGGGTGGTTAAAGAAGCCACGTGGACAGCAGTGCTTTCTGGGATTTGGGAGCTGCAGGGAATGGACTGAAATTGGACTTACAGACTTCTCTGAGAACAAAGCAAAAAGAAAGTCTGCTGCGGAAGTGAGCTGTTTTTCCACTGAGGGGATGTAGTATAGTAAGATTTCTTGAAAATCTGAGATAGTCCTTGATCATACCAGACTGTTTTTGTGATATTTTATAACATTCATTCTTAAAATTGTGAAATGGAATTTATAGATAAGACCACCTACCTACACACAAAATTTCAAGATAAAAAATGCAATGCTCTAACTGCAATATCAAAAATAAATAAAATAGATTTATAATAAAATAATAACCATATATAAATGCTTTGGCATGATCACACTAGATAACATAATTAATCAAATGCTTGCAGCTGCTTATAAAGAACAGTATTCAAATGAGTTCAACTAAGTCCTTTTCCTTCTATTTAACCATTTGAATAAGGATTAAGTGTATTCCTATATATACACATAGAATTGCTACAACAACAACACCTACTAATGAGTAATTTGATAGTCATATTGGTAATTTATATGATACAAATATTGTGTCTGTTAGTGAAATGGTTTTCTGAAATGGTGAACAACACTTGACAAAGTTCTGAGCAAAAACAGTGTGCAGTTATCCTTTGATATATCCAGTGTTCTCAATTTTGGAAAATTTAGTGTGTAGTAAACCAAGGCAAAAATAATTTGTATTTATATGTTTTATGTATACATAAGTATCCAAAAAGACATTAAAAAATCATTTGCTACCAAAAAAAAAAACAAAACAGTAAGTGTAATACATTGTAAGTTCCTTGCTTAGCATCTAGATGGTCATTTTTAAGAAAAAGTTTTGCTTTCTTGCCCAAGGTCCTTTCTGAGAAAGGTTCACCACTCTCTCATACCAACCCAACCCTTCACTGCCTAGATTAGGACCCATGCAGCTCTGATTCCTGAGCCTGCCCTGTAAAAGTTGGAACCCAAGCCTGTATTGCCTCTCTCCTTCTATGGAGAGATGGCCTTTATTTGTCAGCTCTGATAAATAAACTCTCGTGTGTATCTCTGCCTGGTCTTTGTCTTTCATTTATTGCTCACCCACCTCCTGGTTCCTTGCTTTCCTTTAATACAAAAGTAAATTACTAAATATATTAGAATGTGATAATTCATATTGCAAAGAAGGAAAATTAGTTCCAGATGGTAGTATAAAAATGATTCTAATATGCAATGGTATAACTGAAAACCACTTTTCTTTCAATGTGAAATCTAAAAAGAAAGAAACCTGGTCTAGCATTTCCTCAGCCATTTTGAAAATAATAACACAGACCAAGAAAAGTAAATAATTTTACACAAATTCCATAGGTAGACAGAAATGGAACTAGGGCCTATGCCTCTTGATATTCTAGACTATTTTTTCTACACTACAGCATTCTAACATATAGTCTTAGAATTCTCTCTTTACCAAGATCACCAAAGATATTTTGTAGAAGGGTATTATAGCTGTTATTTCTGTTTTCTTGATTTTCTAGGATGAACAGTCAGAAGAAAAGATATGGAACCTGCTTGTATCTGGAGTTTGTTGTCTGCAGAGAAAGGTAATTGAACGAATAAGGAGTATTCTAGATAAAACTTTTCATTCTCTTTCTTCTATTTATCATAGCCTTTGTGATTCTTCTGAAAACTTAAATTTTTTGTTAGATGTATGTGTGTGTATGTGTATGTGTGTGTATCTTAAGATATTACTTGGATACAGTATTTACTTAATTTAGAATGGACTGCACAATTTTTGTGTTGCCCAAACTGAGGAAAAAGAAAGCAGAAAGGTGAAGAGGCAACTGTGGTTTATTATTTTCCATAATCTCCAAAGCATTCATAATCATATAATCAGAAAAGGCTCATCATGTCTTTCTCCCTTTGCTGTAACCACAGCTTTCTAACAAGAGAGCACAAAAGAGCAAAGAGTAAACTTTGCTAGAGTCCTCCCCTGGTGGCTGATTCTTGAACTACAAGGAATGTTTAGCAGCTGGGAACAAAACCTGGTACCAGTCTCTTGCCTTCTCATTTCTGTGACATTCTAATGTCTGCCTCTGCAGACCCTGCTTCCATCCATCCACCTTTATCACCCATCTAGTCACACCTTCTCCTAGAGGTTGCAAGTAGTAAACAATCAATAACTACTACTATAGGAATGTGGACTTGTATGCTTGCTTGTATTCTTATTTATTTACTTTTATGTGCACGTGTTTGGATTGAACATGGATATATGTATGTGAATGTAGGCCATTGTATATATTGTTAAACTAATATCCACCAATGCTTTATTCTTTCCCATTTACCAAGTTAGGCTCAAAAGAAGGTTCTACAGAAGCAATAGGCTAATTAATGTTCAATGGAAAGAAAAATAGCAGAAAACAGTCATTTCAAGTATTGTATACATCTTTAAGTTAATGCCTAAATTTTTCTTATTAATCATAAGTTAAAATGTTCACAACCCATATATGTATGTAAGGAGAGTTCTTATGTTTTCCTTTATGGTGGGCATTAGCTATAAAATATCTTTGTGGGTACATTTAAAAAAGATGGGAAGTGACTTACTTTGTTCCTTGTATTTCTGTTTGAGGAACAGTGTGAATGGCTGTAGCAATGTGGCTATATTTCTGTTTGTTTCATGTATGAAGGTATATTAGGTATGAAGGTATATTTGTGCTTCTCCTAACTCAAACTCTTCCTCCACAGCTGCTTCTGGTTCTCTGGCTTCGTTTTTCAAGGAAGGAGCTTACAAGTAGATGTCTTTTTTATTTTACCCTCTTTTTCTATTTTGGTATTAGTGTCTCTCATGAACCACCTTCTCATCCCCAACCTTTTCACATTTCCACTTTATTCTTTAGCAATCATTAACAAAAGTTGTTAAGAGACAGATGTAGAGATTTTTATAGGCTAGCAAATTCTCTTTGGGAATTATGTAAATAAGGACCAACAAACTGTAGCTAGTAGGCCAAATCCAGCCAGTTGCCTATTTTTGTAAAAATGTTTTACTGGAAAAGACTATTCATTTACATATTGTCTATGGCTGCTTTCATGCTAAGATGGCAAAATTGAGTAATTGCAATAGAGACTGAAAAACCCAAACTATTCATGACAATTTTTCAGAAAATATTTGCCAACTCTTATGTAGTTCAGCATTCCCCTTCATTCTACAGACATTGTTTTCCAGGAGTTAACAACTTTGCTGTTAGGGTTCTTTAGTCATTTAAGATCAGAAAATGTTAGATTAAATAAATTTAAATAGCCTATTTAACTTGAAATAAAGAAGCATTTCATAAGCTAATATCTAACATTTAGAAACTCAGGGGAAAGAGGGTGCATTTCCCTCAATTTATTTGGTCACAGAACACCTTTTTACAGCTTTCCTTACTAATATATCGCATAATAATGTTCTAAGGAACAACTCATTTGGAAAATGCTGTGTAGACATTCACATAACAGTAGTTTGAACTGGATATCTGATTTCCTGAGTTACTTTTTCTAGATGCAGGTGAAAAGCTACTTAGTATAGTGTTTAAGCACATAAACCTCAGATAAACCTGGATCAGAATTAAAGCTCTTCCATTTACCAGAATTGATCAAGCTACCAAATGCCATAAGGAGGACTGGCTATATAATTTGCAGTTTTGTACAAAGTGAAAACACAGGATCTCTTGTTCAAATGTTAAGAATTTCAAGACAGCAATAGCTGAACATTAAATCAAGCATGGGTCTTGAGCATGAAGACCTGATACACACTCCAGAAGCCAGTCCTGGTTATATGTTTGAATTTCTTCAACTATCAAATGTGGACAATACCTAACTTTTGAGATTGTTTTGAGAATTAAATCAGAAATGTATGTAAAGGGCCAAGCACAATATAAAGCACAGAATATTTAATAATAAATGACTTGCTTTTAATTCAAAAGCATTAATAGCCATATTCAATAAATATGTATTTAGTGTCCACTATGTGCTGGCCACTGTGCTAGGTATTCTGGGTACTGTGGTGAAAAAGACAGATAAGACCTTTGTTGTTATTTAGATTATTATTTAGTGAGGAAGACAAATAATTGAAGCAAAAAATAAGATAATTATAAATTGTGATAAGTGACATACCGGGAAAAATAGGGTGCTAGGAAGAGGAATAGTAGAATGAATCTTAATTTCGGTGGCCAGGCAGAATCTCTTCTGAGAAGTCCTATTTGAGATCAGAAGTATGAAAAGAAACTCACCATGGGAAGAACAGGAGGAAGAATATTCAAGGTAGAAAGGACTGCTATTGAAAAGGCTCTGAAGTAGGAGAGAAAATGGTATTTATGAGAGGCTTTAGTGGAGGAAGTAAGGAGAATGATATAAAATGAGGCTGGGGAGGGGAGGTAGGTAGGGTCCAGATCATGGAACACCTTGTAGGATGAAATAAGGATTTTGTTTTTTAGACCAAGTGCAATGAAAAGCTCTTTAACTATTTTGGACAGGGCAGTGACATGATCTAATTGATGTTTATAGAAACTCACTTTGGATCAGATGGATAAGAGTAGAAAAGTAGGAGTCTGTTTCAGCAGTCCAGTAGAGTTCATAGTACCTTGGACTTACGTGATCTTGAAGACATGCTGATAAATAAATGAATTTGAGGCTTATGCTTTTTAAAATTTTATTAAATTTCATTTCTAAATTTTATTTTTATTAGTTCTTTTTAGTTATACATGACAATAGAATTTATTTTGACATAATTAGAGAATCATGGAATAAAATTTGTTCTAGTTCACTCCCCAGTATTTCCCCTTCCCTTCTCTTCCTCTCGCCCCCCTATTCCCTTCTCTGTATTACTTTGATCTTTTTGCTGTTTACATTTAGTTTTTTTAATTTGTCTTGTGGGTGCTCATGATGGAGAGATTCATTGTAGTATATTCATATATGTTAGGTTACATTCATTCTACTGTGTTTCCCTATCCCATCCCACTACCCTTCTCTTTGTTTCCTTTTTCCTACCCCACTGGTCTTCTTTTTTTTCTTGGTACCAGGGATTGAACCCAGGGGCACTTAACCACTGATACCTATCCTCAGCCCTTTTTATATTTTATTTTGAGACAGGGTCTCAGTAAGCTGCTCAGGGCCTCACTAAATTATTCAGGGCATCACTAAGTAGCTGAGGCTGGTTTGAACTTGAGATCCTCCTGCCTCAGCCTCCCAAGCTACTGAGATTACAGGTATGCACCACCACACCTATTCTTTTTTATTTTCAACCTCCCCACCTTATTTTGGACTAGCTTCCGCATATCAGAGAAAACATTCAACCTTGGACTTTTTGGGTCTGGCTTATTTCACTTAGCATGGTAGTCTCCAGGTCTATCCATTTACCAGAAAATGCCATACTTTCATTTTTTATGGCCAAGTAATACTCCATTGTGTATATATACACATTTTCTTTATCCATTCATCTGTTGAGGGACCCCTAGGTGGTTCCATAGCTTAGTGAATTGAGCTGCTATAAACATTGATATAGCTGTATCACTTAATTTTAAATCCTTTGGATATATACTGAGGAATGGGATAATGAGGTCAAATGGTAGTTCCATTTCTAGTCTTTTGAGAACTCTCCTTACTGCTTTCCAGAAATCTCCTTACTGCCTCAGCCCCCTGAGCCGCTGGGATTATATACTTTTGCCACCATGCCTGGACTGATACTTGTATTCTTGATGATTGCTAAGGCTTATTTTTGAAGGTATGAATAATAGACCTTGTTAATTGACATAGATAATTGAAAGAAAAAATAAACATCTCAAAGTTTTTCTGATCAATTAGATGGCATCATTTTTTTTAAATCTTTTTTTAATATTTATCTTTTAGGTGTAGATGAACACAATACAATGCCTTTATTTTATGTGGTGCTGAGAATCAAACCCAGGTCCTTCCCATGCTAGGTGAGTGCTCTACAGCTGAGCCACAATCCCAGCCCCAGATGGCATCATTTAACTGAGATAAAAGATGTCTGGGGGTGAGTTGTTTGGGGGCACTGGGGCTAAGTAGGTATATAAATCAAGAGCTCAGGTTTAGACATGAAAAATTTGAAGAGCCTTTGAGTCATCTAAGAAGAGATGGTAGTGATGGTGGTATTAGTCATAGTTGTTGTTTGCATTGCTATCTTCGATTCTGTGATTATTTACTCTTGGTGTCACCTCATTAGACTACCAGGAAATATACAGAAAACATCTAAGGGAAAAACACATAAAAATAGGAGTTGATAAATGTTATCACCATGGCAAGCATATAGAGTCACGGCTGCTTCTTGTAAAAGAGAACTGTGTATCAGAAAAGACACCATGTGGAATTCCTCAACAATATCATTTTGTTAAGATGGAACATGTATTTAATCCTAATGAAGAAGATTTCAGCTCATCCAGAACTCTGGTGCTTCAGGGATGTGCTGGGACTGGGAAAACAGCTGTGGTACACAAATTCATGTTTGACTGGGCAGCAGGAATGGTTACTCCAGGCAGATTTGACTATCTCATTTATGTCAGTTGCAGAGAAATCAGCCACACTAATAATCTTAGTGCTGTTGACCTGATCACTAACATATTTCAAGACATAAAGGGACCAATCCTGGACATTATACTTCTATATCCAGAGAAACTTCTATTTATTCTTGATGGATTTTCTGAGCTGCAATACCATGGGGGTGACCAAGAAGACGATCTTACTAGTAATCCCCAGGAGAGGAAGCCAGTAGAGATACTCTTGTGTAGTTTGGTGAAGAAAAAACTTTCCTGAATCCTCTCTCCTAATAAGTGCCCAGCTCAAAGCCATGAAGCTCCACTCTCTGTTAAAGCAACCTATCCAGGCAGAAGTCCTAGTTTACAGATGCTGAAAAAAGAGCATATTTCTTGAGTCAGTTTTCAGGTGCTAATGCAGCTATGAAAATCTTCTATGGTTTGCAAGACAGTGAAGGTCTTGACATTATATCTTCTCTTCCAATTGATTCCTGGATGTTACGCAGGGTCCTGCAGTAACAAGGAGATGTTGATAGAACTCTTCTGCAGTCCCTTAAGACCATGACTTACATGTATCTGTTCTACTTTTCCAAGTGCCTCAAAACCCTTATAGGCATATCAATGTGGAAGGGACAAAGTTGCCTGTGGGGCCTTTGCTCTTTGGCTGTGGAGGGTCTACAGAAGCATCGGGTTATGTTTGCAGTTAGTGACCTCAGAAAACATCGAATAGGAGTTTATGATACTGACTGCATTTTTCTCAATCATTTTCTAAAAAAAAATGAAGGAGATGTCAATGTCTATACTTTTCTTCACTTCAGTTTCCAAGAATTCCTGACTGCTGTGTTCTATGCCCTGAAGAATGACAAAAAAAAGGATATTTTTTTTTGGTCATGTGGGGAAAACATGGCAAGAAATATTCCAACAATATGGAAAAGGGTTTTCATCAGCAATGATACAATTTTTATTTGGCCTCTTACATAACAGAAAAGCAAAGACTGTGGAAACTACTTTTGGGAGAAAAGTCTCTCCAGGACTTCAAGAAGAGTTATTGAAGTGGACCAAAAGGAAAACAAAGGATAAATCTTCTAGATTACAGATTAAATCAGTGGACTTGTTTCACTGGTTGTATGAGATACAGGAATAAGAATATGCAAAAAAGATAATTGATAATTTACAGTCAATTGTACTACTCCAATCTACCTATACAAAAATGGACATTCTGGCTATGTCATTCTGTGTAAAAAGCAGTCACAGTCCTCTTTCAATGTCTCTGAAGTGTCAGCACCTACTTGGATTTGAGGAGGAAGAGAAAACCATGGCATTCATGCCAACAGCCTTAACATTTAATCAGTGAGTATATTCATATCCTTCCTCTAGTTTTTTTGGCCTTCTTTCTTTTTTTATTACTTATTTATTTTAAGTACTTAGGCATATGATCATTTCAAGTGTCATCAATAAGTAGAAGTAATCACCTCAGCTTTCCATATTTTATGTCAGTCAATAATGTAAGGATTTACTGATTATCTACCATGCATTGAACACTAGCCTAGGTAAACAATGAGGAAAGCTAGTTTTTTGAGCACTTACCATATACTGGGCACTGTGTGTGTGTGTGTGTGTGTGTGTGTGTGTTTTGTGTGTGACGCGCACGTACGCATTAGTCTTCATTGTCACTCTGTGGATGTGCTTTATCATTATAAAGTGTTATAAGCATTTAAAATCTTCAAGACCCACGATTTTGGTGTCAGTGACCATTCTGGGAAAGTTTGCAAACCTAACATTGGATTGGTTGTCACTCTTCTGCATGTATATACTTCATCACTGAGGCCTCAAAAATTTCCAGGTTAAGAAGAGGAGCTACATGTCTGTGTATCTTTCTGTAACACCTGAGCTCTTCCTACCAGACCTTTATAGAGGACTGAGAGCTGAAGTTCAAAGAGACATAGGTAAACCACTATTATAATATGAACTCTCTGTATACGATAAAATGCAATTCTAGTTCCTTTTTATAGTATGGATTCTGTACACTATATAAAACAGTTCTACTGACTGATTAAAGCAGTGAATAACTATATCAATCTGTTCCCAATATCTGAGTTATGAAAGACAATGCCTCTTCCTTATTGTGGGGCCAATTGAGTGGTAGGGGACCTTGAGGAGAAGAGTGAACAGAAAGCTCTCTTAGAGGAATGCATTAATCCTATTCTTAGCTCTTATAGATGGATTTCCTCAACTGGCTGTAGCATAGAGGTGGTAATGGGCAATGGAGAATTTGTGTTTGAGGGAAATAGGGAGGGACAGGGAGTGCAAGAAGAGTTTGTTTAGAACTAGCAGGGACAGGGGTAGGAGAGGTTAAGTTAACAAATAATTATGAAGGATCTTGGTTATAAGGTCCCAGTGAATTCGTTGTATATTATAAAGTAAAATAATTGACAAATACATTTGAGAGATTTAGAAAACTCTCAAATACATTTGAGAGATGGAAACAAAAAAGGGCTTCTGATTAATTCTGGGTTTCCAGAAAGTCAACTTTAGATGGAGTCTCCACCCCCTGCCTTTATTGCCTTTATCAGAGGGCTTAAATGCCTGTCAAAATTTAAGCCAGAACATTCCTTTCCCAACATTAGCATATTGGTGAAATGAGAGTACACTGTTGAACTTAAACTTGAGTTTCAATTACTATAATTAGTTTTTCTATTTGAACGGACAACCAAGAATCAGTTATATTGTACAGGTAGCTTGGAGAAGTCACTTGATCTCTTAGAACATCTGCAAAGTGGTGATTATAATTTTAAAAGCCAATAAATAAATAGAAGGAGAACCAGTAGAGAGAGGGATTATGGGAGGGAGATAGGGAGGGAGAGAAAATGGAAGCACTAAGGATTGACATGGAGCAAATTATATGAATTTATGAATATGTTGAAATAAACCCCACAGTAATGTATAACTATATAACAAAGTTTTAAAATGGTGATTATAATAGTCATTATGTTAAGAGCCAGATAACCTTGATGCCTGGCACATAGTAGCATGGGTTTGGAGTAAGACCCGATTAATGGTCTCAGTTCTTTGTCAACTTATATGATTTTGACCAAATTGCTTAACATTTTGTGCCTAATTCCCTAATCTGCAACATGGGGTGACACCTTCTAAGGTTTTAGAAGAGTCAATTAATACTAGCATAGAAAAAGAAGCCAAAATAAGCTTTTTGCTTAAAGTTTTAAAATTATTTTTGTTTTCTCATCTCTTGTAGGTCCTTTTAGATGCGCAGTTTCCTAGTGTCTCAGCTACACTTGCTTTGCCAAGCACTGCGTAATCCATAATGTAAAATCAAAGATCTGAAGTAAGTTGAACTTTACTTTAAACTCTGAAGTATTTGCAGATAAATACTGGGTTGCCAGAAATTGCACTGTGGGCTTATTGGATCTGAAAACAAAATATAACTAGTGTTCAGTTTGTCCATAGTGGAGTAGCAAATAAAAAGATGCTACAAACCTAGAAGAAAGGTGTGAGTAACATCTTTGTCCACATGCCTGTTTTTTTGTAGGTGCTATTTCTGCACATAACAATGCACTGCAATGAGTGGGTGGCAAGTTGTAACACCTAAGAGATTTGTCTGTGGTTCGTTCTGGATCTACCCCTCTTCCTTTTCCTACCAGACCCCTGAGATCCTTCCCCTAAATTTTCTTTCAGTTGGGTCCTGTCCTACTGTGGATCTGCAGTGTGGTGATCATTTTCTCTCCCTCCATGCCCAATCCACTGCCCCCATTTATTCATCAAAGTGCCCCAAGAAGCCCCCATCCTGGACACTTTCAGATATTTGTCTGCATCACAAGCATATAAGCACAAGCCTCCTTGATTTTCCATATCTATTTTTCCACATAGATCAGTTTCTGCAGTCCTTCTCCTGTCCTATCCCAGAGGAAGAAATGGCCTTTCCAAACCCAAAGAAGCCAGTAAATTCAGTTTATTTGTATTTTTTGTGAACATTTCATTATTTTACTTTCACATCACAGAATCTTAAAACAATATAAAAACCTTTCATCCAGCTGACCTATACTCCACCCCATCCTCCATGCCCCCACCCTATTGCCTTCCATTCCCTGACCCCTGAGACCACCCTCTCTAGGGTAATATCTTATTTACTAATGTGTTTCCAGATCTTTTCTCTCCTCACACAAATAGGAATTTGTAACATAAGACAAACATAATCTATAAAGATATACAGCATACATAAAGATACAGAACTATGGAAGGTTTGTTTTACACAAAACAAAAGTGACTTATATAATTGTTTTTTCATTTCACAGAACAGTAACTATGCCTCAAATACAATATGTGGACTCTACCTCATTCTTTCACATATTTCTTGCATTTTCAAGCTTCTTTCTGTGATCTCCTTCCCTATGACTCAAGCTTCTCTCAACATTTAGAACTCTCTCTCAACCACATGTCCTGTTACATTCAAACTTTGTCCTTAAAAACAGCTTCCCCTCACTGACTCCACTTCTGCATTTTCCATTCACTCACTCCTTGCACTTTGGCTTCTATCCTGCCACTCCCCTGAATTTGCCTGAAGATCCAAAGTAAATGCCAAGCCAAATGGACATTTTCAGCTTTTGTTTCTCCAGGCCCCTCAGCCTACATGACCTTTTTTAAAAAAATTTGGTTTCTAGTTGTAGTTGGATACAATACCTTCATTTTATTTTTATATGGTTCTGAGAATTGAACTTAGTGCCCCATATGTGCTAGGCAAGTGTTCTACCACTGAGCTGTAATACCAGCACCCCCTACACACCTTCTCTTTTGATTCATCCCCCATTCAAACTGTTCCTAATTATTTAATTGCCTCCAGCCATCTCCAGCTGGGATGATTTTAACATTTTGTGGATATCTAGAGACACTTTTGTCTGTCATGGCTGAGTGAGTGGGGTAGGTACCACTGTCATCTAGTGGATAGAGGCTAAGGATTCTGCTGAACATCCTACAGTGTACTGGCAAGCCCCCCATAATAATGAATTATCCAACTGTAACTGTCAAGAGTACTGAGGTTAGAAAACACTGTCTAGAGGGATATAAACAAAACAAAGACATTTATGAAATGTACAGTTTAAGTAGCTGGCCCCCAATTTGGATGGTGATTGTCTACACCCTTCCCAACAGGAGGAAGCCGAAAGTCACATCTCTGCTGGATGTCCTAGAGCCATGGCAGCTTTCTGGTATGTAGGTCCACAGTCCCTAGGTGATGTCCAGGACTCCTCCAGTCATGTCTCATTGTGTTCCAGTTGCACACCTCCTCCCCATCCTTCCACCTGAGGGCTAAAGCACACTTTTAGCCCCCTTCAACACAGCTTATGGTCACCAGGGGGGAAAGCAGACCAACCTCCCACCTATCCCCTTCCCTGACTCACTCTCCTCTTCCTCCCACCTCTCCCCCTCCCACTGGCAGTTGATTTCCCATTGGATATTCTTCTGTTCTATTTCACATTTATGAATTCACTGAGAGCTTTACAGCCAGATTCCCTTACCACATTTTTCATGGTGGTGGGTTGGAGGAGAGAATGGTCTAGATGAGTATACCCTCTGAGTGTTATGAATTTCGGACTCACCTTGGCAGTGGTATGAGTTCAGATCTGTCTGTGGTTTCATCTACTGATGAGTGGGGAGGATTCTCCTGTCATGAGACTGTGCAGTTATAGGAGTCCTTGCCAGCAGCTGGTGCTGCTGGCTTCCTTTGTATGCAGCCCTGTGGGATTCCCTTGGGGTGGCAAATCTCTGCTGTGTTAAGAATAAATGTGGGGCAGGGCATGATGGTGAATGCCTGTAATTCCAGCCACTCAGGAGCCTGAGGCAGGAGCATTGCACATTCAACCCAGCCTCAGCAACTTAGCAGGGCCCTGGTAATTCAGCAAGACCCTGCCTCAAAATTTCATATATATATATATCACATACATATACATATACATACACACACACACACACACACGTCTGAGCATGTTGCTCAGTGGTTAAGCACCCTTGTGTTGAATCCCCAGTACTAAATAAAATTAAATTAAGTAAACCTGAGTTAACCCCAGACTTGTTCCGATTATTTCTTATTATTTATTTAACTCCCTTAGAACATGAGCCATTCTATTCATTTTGCTCCTGGGGACTTTTGGGATGCAGGAATTCCTATTACTTTACAAGCCTGATGGAACTCCCCAGCCAGTTCCAAATTTTCTCTTTTTTTGGTTGTAGATGAACACACAGTATCTTTATTTATTTCTATGTGGTGCTGAGGATCGAACCCAGTGCCTCACACATGCGAGGCAAGTGCTTTACCACTGAGCCACAGCCCCAGCCCCCCAAAATTTTCTTTGATGGTTTTTTTGTTTCAAATTTCTCTGCTAGTACCAGTTTCTGACTGGGAAGTAATCTGACTCTCCAGAATAGGAACCTATTCAAGTTAGCTTAAAGAAAAAGGTATCTGGGGCTGGGGTTGTGGCTCAGTGGTAGCACACTCACACTCGTGTGAGGCACTGGGTTCGATCCTCAGAACCACATAAAAATAAGTAAGTAAATAAAATAAAGTTATAAAAAATGTTTAAAAAAATAAAAGAATATCTGGGTAAAGTGGATCCTCATGTAGCATAATTGCAAGATGTGAAAGGAATTGCATCATAGCCACTCTCTCCAGCTCTCTAGAGTTACTGGATCAACTCGTCTATGCCTGTCTGTACCCTGGAAACTCATGCTGGTGTCCTCTAAAAGATACCTCTGTAAAGCACTCAGTTTTGCTCCCGTTTTCAGGGCCAGGCCTTGGTGTTTGTGGCTATGACCCAGGCCTCAGCAAAATTACTCACTGCTACATTGACCAACTCCATCATGACTATGGCATCTACCTCTCAGTGCTTATGATCTAGCCTGGGAATCTGTGTGGCTCAGGATAAGAGTCAAATGACCAGTCCTATTTAAACCATCATAAGGACTAGGTGGGCAGAGGATGTCCTTTTATATACATGGATTTCCAGGCCCACCAGACACTAGGATGGGGAAACAGACAGACATAGATCTATCTCTGTTGATCTATAGATAAATCTATAAATCTATAGATCGATAGATATAGATATATGTATGTACACACACATACAGAAGCTTCAGTAATTCTAGTGTTGAATGATAATGCTCTGTAATACAAGAGGTGTAATCTGACCTGGCATGGTGGCATATGCCTTTAATACCAGCTACTTGGGAGGCTGAGGCAGACAGATTCCAAGTTTGAGGCCAGCCTGCACCACTTAGTGAGATCTTGTCTCAAAATAAAAAAAAAAAATTAAAAGGACTGGGGGGGCTAGGGATGTGGCTCAAGCGGTAGCACGCTTGCCTGGCATGCGTGCGGCCTGGGTTCGATCCTCAGCACCACATACAAAGATATTGTGTCCGCTGAAAACTAAAAAATAAATATTAAAAAAAAATCTCTCTCTCTCTCTCCTTTCTCTTTTTTTTTTTTTTTAAAAAAAAAAAGGACTGGGGATGTAGCTTGATGGTACAGCATCCCTGGACTCAATCCCCAATACTACAAAAGGGGGGGTAATCAAAGCATATCTTTCCCTCCACCACCTACACTCTCCCCATCTCTCATCCCTTACCTCCCTCCCACACCTAACCCCCAACTCCCACCCACCTCTGAAAATTGATTTCCCACTGGGATATGTTTCGGTTCTATTTCATATTTCTGAATTCACTAAGGGCTTTGCAGCCAGATTCCCCTCCCACAGCGGAAGCAACTTTCCCCTCGTGAAAAATTCACAGCTTTACACCAAGGGCAGTCCCAATCCCCAGGCCAGCGAAAAACCGGAGGTTTTCTCTGCTGATGGGATTCAAAGTCTTTCCTATTAAGGGTTTCTGGAGGGTCTAATCCCTGGGCCCCCATATCAGACCACCACAGGCTAACATCAAAGGCTGAGCTGTGGGGAAGCATCTGAGGTGGAGCAGGTGCTGTGACCATGCCTGTTGGTGGAGATGATGAAGGTGAGGGTGAGGCTGGGAAGGGGGACAAAGGGGATGAATGTGAGTAAGAGAATGAGGCAGGGAGCTGAACAGGGAGGGGTTCTGATGAGGCTATGGACCCAGGATTCAGGGTCCCAGCAAGAGAAAACATGGTATTTTCCATGGATCTGTGTTCTCCCTCCCTCTGCCCACCAGAGGTGTAATTTTTTGGCTCAGTAGTTCCGAGAAGCTGCAGGAAGCTCCCACCCATCTCCTGTTCGGCCTCCATGGGGGCGGCTCCCACTGCATCACTCTCCTCTCTTCTTCCTCCTCCTCCTGTAGCATCATCTGCAGCAGCTGTTGCTTCTTCCATCTCACCTGTTACTTCGGTCCCTGCCCCTCTGGCAGTGGCCAAGCCTGGCCCCTCTACAGCCTGGGCTGGGAGGGCCCTCAGCTCCTGGGGATAAGTGGGCAGGGCTGGAATATGTTCTGTGGGAAAATCAGGGGGCAGACCTACTATTGGGGTGGGGGGTGGGGCAAGGATGGTGGGGTGGTAATCTTACCGCCCTGAGAAGCTTCCACCTCAGTAGATCCCGCTCTTTCTGCACCTCTGCCAGTTTGGCCTGGGCCAGCCGCAACTGCAAGGCAGCCTCCTTGCGTTCCATCTCCTGCTGTGCTCCAAGCTGCTTCAAGTCTGAGGCCAGGGCATGGGCAGCTGACTTGTGTAGTTTGGAAAAGTCGTGCAGCCACTGCACCCTGCATCCCTGTAAATGCCCCTGCCTGCGAGTGAAGCGCACACCCAGAGCCAGGCTGCTCCAAGCGCAGGCTTCCTGGGCCTGGCTGGACATCTCGCTGTCCTCCAGGATGGTTCTGATCTTATCTTCCACCTCCTCCCAGGACAAAGACATATTCTCAAGGTAGAACTCAGGGCCTTTCACGTGCCTGGCCATCTTCTCGTTGATGAAGGCCACCACCTTGCTATGCCGAAATCCACTACAGGGGTCCTCAGGTTTCAAGGCCATGATGTCTAAGGGGCTTGTGGCTTTGTGGGCCCTGGGAGATGGATCAACCAGTTGTCCTGTCCTTCTCCTTTAAGACCCCCTAGTCCTCAGCCTCCCCACCCACACCCCAGTCGCCTATAGTCCCCCACCCCATCACTCTTAGTATCCCTCCCCTGCCTTTAGGGCCCACCCCAACCCCCATAGCCCTTAGCCCCTCCCCTCACCCTCACTCCCCTCCCCCACCCTTAGCCCCTCCCTTCGCCTTTACTCTCCTCCCCTTTCCCTCGCTCCCCACCCCTCTCTTCTCTGTCCCACCCCTCGCTTCTCTGTCCCACCCACTCATAAAGAGCCGCCTCTGCCTCAGTCCCCTCATAGAACGCTTCCCACCGGGCTCACCAGAGTAGATACAGGGCTACCACAGCCCTCTCCCAGGCAGAAAGGGGTCCCTCTCGCTTCGAGGGCTCCGGGAAAAGGGAGCCACGCGGCGAAATCTCTAGGCTTTTACTCTAGGACTGTTCCAACTCCCAGAGACTGCGGGGGTGCCGAGGAGGGAGAGCCGAAGGTCCCGCCCCCTCCTGGGCTCCTAAGGGAACCCACCACATGGCTGAAAGCCATCGAAGGCGGGAAGAAACGGGACTGGTTAGAAAAGACCCAGAATGAAGAAAATGAAGCTCTCAGAAGTAAGTCCAAAAGGTCCCACCCCACCATGATGGTTTGTTCCAGGCCTGGTGAGCCCCCTCCAATACTTGGAATATTCTAGAACAGGAAGTAACTCCAACACCTCTGTGGCTTCCGGTAGCCCCAAGGAAGAGGAGAAGCCAGGAAACAGCCCATCCCCCAACGCCCGCCCAACGGGACACTGCAGTAACTTTGGTAATAAACAGTGGCTATTTCCATCCTCAAAATGTGCCCTGAATCTGTTCACCCCCATCCCTGATACTAGTTTAGCCCCCCTCATTTCTTCCCTCAACCACTGCAGCTCTCTGACATCAGATACTGACCCGATCTAACCGTCATCAGTGTGATGTGATCCTGTCTCTCAAAACTTTCAATGACTTTCTGAGGCTTATAGGATAAACTAAAGAGATCCTAGGTTGAGTCCCACTTTTTTTGCCATTTTTATCATCTTGAATCTCAGTTTCTACCTATGGGCCCAGGATGAGGACAAAATGTTGAAAGTACATGTAAAGTTGAAGAAGTAATGGTTTGTGTGATCCCATTTTTAAAAAATGTAGAAATAAATCTCATATCTCATACATATGTAATCTAGTATATATTCATGTATTTCTATAATCAGATAATTGGAGTGGGAAAGGGTGGCACCACACTCTTACCATAGTTATCTCTGGAAGGTGGAGTTGGATGGAAGGTTAGAAAAAATTTTTAACTTTTAAAATACATCTTTCTGTGATATAATGTGATATAAACATGTAATTACATGTGTGTGTGTATATATATATATATATTTATTTAAAATATGGAAAGTTATATGACAGCATTTTAATAATGGTTCTTTGGGTGCTGGAAATATAGACTGTGGGTATGGATATATGGGGGTGTGTTTGTGTGTGTGGCCTTCCATCTGCTAGGCAAGCACTGTACCCCTGAGCAATATCCCCTTTAAAAAAAACCAACTTTATATTTTTCTCTATTATAAAGATTTTTTATAATAAGCCAGGCACAGTGGTGCATGCCTTTAATTCTAGTGACTTGAGAGGCTAAGGCAGGAGGATCATAAGGTCAAGGCCAGCCTCAGCAACTTAGGGAGACCTTGTCTGAAAATAAAAAGGGCTGAGGATGTGGTAAAGTACCCCTGAGTTCTATCCCAAGTACCAAAGTTGTTTTCTAGAATAAGCAATATTTTTTTCAAACTTTTTGAAAACCTTTTCCCCAATAATGTCTGATCATGACAAATAATTTGTAAGTACCTGAAAAGCACATATCTTCCTATAATTCCACCCTCCCCCTATCCTGGGAGAAACCCATTTTAATTCTTGATACACGTCTTTCCAGCCTTTTAAAATAGGCAATAGCAAATAATTTTCAGTTTCTTAAAGGAGGCCTCAGTATATTTTCTCTTGCTTCCTTGCTTTTGCACAGGCTATTCTTTATGTGGTTGGCCCTCAGCCCCTCTGACACTCTTTCCATTCCTGTTCTTATCTACCTAGTTCCTATTCAGTTTCCATTCCTCTTACACAGGCACTCAAGCATTTCTCCCTCTGATTCTCCAAACCCCCTTCTGAGCTAGGCTGAATTGTGCAACATTTTTATGTCCTGATAATATGTGATAATATGTTTTGTATACCTCTTGCAGTACTTTTCACACTGTATTATAACCTAATATTTTAAAATCTTTTTCCCCATTAACTGGGCATTACGTGAGGGTATAGTTTGTCTTAAATATGTCTTGTTTTGAACATCTCACATAGTAGTAAGCATTCAATACATTATTCATTAAATAAATTGAATGTGCAAAGAATACTTTTAAAAGAACCATGTTTTTTTTTTTTTTCCTTGTGATATCTTTTTCTTCATATACACCGATTTTCTGCCACCTCACAGCTCTTGTGGTAGGGACCTCTCCTCAGTATTTGAAACCAACCAGTGTCTGACAGATTTGGAGTTTGTAAAAAATACCCTGGAAGATTCAGGAATGAAGCTTCTGTGTGAAGGATTGAAATAGCCAAATTGTACATTACAGACATTGAGGTAACTGGTAGCAGGATAATATGTTGTTTGTGTGCATTTTCTATTTGGGGGCAGGATAAGAGCATAAATTAGGTAATGAAGCTACTTTTCTGTTCTTGAAAGGTTTTTTTTAAATATTATTTTTTAGTTGTAGTTGGACACAATGCCTTTATTTTATTTATTCATTTTTATGTGGTGCTGAGGATCAAACCCAGGGCATTGCACATGCAAGGCAAGTGCTCTACCGCTGAGCCACAACCTCAGCCCTCTCTAAAGGTTTTATCACCCATGCCTTATCTCTCCTGCGTCTTGTGGGTCACTTGCTGCTGTTCTTAGCACCAGTCAGTGGCTAACTGAGCTGGAATTTAGTGAAACAAAGCTGGAAGCTTCAGCTTTGAAATTGCTCTGTGAAGGCTTAAAAGATCCAGGTTGCAAATTACAGAAGCTCAAGTAAGTTGCAATTGTTAGTTGCTATTCTGCAGGAATATTTAAAAAATACACAATTCAGGATGTGTGTGGTGTTAAAAATCACATTTCAAAGAGTTATGGAAAACAAGAAAAAGAGTGGCAATCCCTGAACTTGTACTGTGTAACAAGTTTGGAAAAAAATATTTTTTATTCTAAATGGCATATTATCAATGTCAATATTAACTCATTGAGTACTTATTGAGTTCTTTATAATAAGCACTGTGCTAAGTGCTTTGTATAATGATTTCCTTTAATCTGTGTACAGCTCTAAGAGGTTCAGATTATTGTACCCATTTTAGCAGAGGAGGAAATGGAAGCCCAACATCATTAGGCTAAACAACATGGCAAGGGCAGAATTCAAAACCCAGATTTATATGAATTCACAGTCCATTGTATTCACCTTAATTAAATATTTGTCATCAGTTAGGGTTTGACAGAGAAACATATGGATAGGATGTTTGTGTGCATGTATGCATGTACACACACCCACACATGTGACTGTGTAGAGATTAATTTTAAAAGATTGGCTCATGTGATTATGGAGATTGGTATCTCTGAAATCTGCAGGGGAGGCTGGCAGACTGGAAACCCAGGGAAGAGCCCATGTTACAGTTAAGTCCAAAGGCTATTTGTTGACAGATTTTCTTCTGAGGAGAAGGTAAGTATTTTTCCATTATCTTTCAACTGATTAGACATGTTTCTCCCACATACATTTTTCAAAGTCTACTGATTAAGATACTGATCGCATCGTAAAAGTACCTTCACAGAAACATCTAGAACAATGTTTGACCAAATATCTGGGTACCATGGACCAACCAACTTGACACATAAAAGTAACTCACAATATATATGTGGGATTTTAAAAAATTTTGGCAGCACTGGGGATTGAACCCAAGGGTGTCTTACCATAGAGCCAAATACTCAGCCCCCTTTTTAAATTTATTTTTTATTTTTATTTTTTTTAATTTTTTTAGTTGTTGATTGACCTTTATTTATTTGCTTATATGTGGTGCTGAGTATCGAACCCAGTGCCTCACATGTGCTAGGCAAGCACTCTACCGCTGAGCCACAACCCCAGCCCCCCTTTTTAATTTTGAGACAGGGTCTTATTGTTGAGGATCTCAGTGAGTTGCTGAGGATAGCTTCAAACTTGAGATCCTCCTGCCTCAGCCTCCCAAGTAGCTGGGTTTACAGGCATGTGCCACTGTTCCAGCTTATGTGGGATTTTTAAAAAGCAAAAGCTCTTTAGCATTAAAGCTTTATAAAATCCACTTTGAGAACTCATTTTATACAAAGTACCTCTTTTTAAAATTTCAAAACTGGGGAGCTATAAATACATTTCCTTTTGAACCTTATTCAAGACTGAGTTTGGTATATCCTCTACTCTTGCTCTGTGCCTTCTCTCCCTAAAAGTAGACCTCAAACTCCAAGATCTTGACTTCTGGGACAGCTTCCATGGCAAGGTTCCAGGACTGCTGGACTGACATAAGGGGAATGTACCTGGCCCTGATGGAGCAGAATCTTGCCAGATATGAACTTCGAATAGTTGAACCACCAAAAGTACCTTTTGGGAAAAAACCCCAAATGCTGATGAATATGGTCCAGATATTGAGCCCAACCTGTGGATGTGGGTGAAACCCAATGTGGTGTATCCCCATGGCAAGCTAGAAAGGGGAGGATCTGATGAGTGAATTCCCATCCCTGCTGCAGTCTGGCTGGGCACAATTCAGGAGCCACTTGTCAAAGGAAACGAACTTTATTTTTAGAACACACATACCGGACCACACAGCTCTTCAGGAAAACCCTCAGAGCCCAACTGCCACCACCAGCTTCCCACAAGCCTCTCAACCTCCCCCACTCCTCCTGCTCTTAAGGCCGATTGGCTGGGTCGCATGGGCAGAGCCAAAAAGAGTTCCCCAATGAGCAGCTCTGTGGTCTGAAAGGGTGGGGAAACAGCCCAATGAGCATCAATGCAGAGGAGCCAATCATTTGGCAGCTAGAAGTTTGCTGGGGCCGCTGTGAGCCAATCATCAGCTGGCAGCTGCAAGTTTGCTGGCAGCTGGAAGTTTGCTGGGGCCCCTTCGGCTGTGGCTCTCAACATCTCCCCCTCTCTGTTTAAACAACAAGCATGTGGCTTAGGGACCATGCCTGCCTTAGGTTGTCCAATACTACATATGGTTCTTACCCATCATCGGATGAGCTGACCTCAAGGTGTCAGCCTCCTGTCTTAGGTTGGTACCATTGCAATTGGATCTTACCTGTCATTGACTACCGGTCCAGCATACAGCCACACCTGTGGAGAGGTCTTTGTACCAGCGGGGGGGGGGGGGTGAGGTTCTTTGCCTCACCTCTGTTGGCCCCCAAATTTTAGCTGAACGACCATCACAAGCAGAAGGGAGGAAGATACACCAAGTCAATTGACGGCTCCTTTTGGAAAAATTGTACCACCGATGACACCATCAGCAAAAATACCCCAACACTACCACAAGTCTCTGCACCAACAGATAGTTCACAATGCATACAAGTGAGTTCACAATGCGTACAAGTGATACATAGTCCAGGCAAGTTCTGCAAGCAGTTCAGTGATAGCTATTGCAGAAGCTGTAGATTGGTTTTATCTTTGTCTTCACTGGCACTGGGATGAAGATAGGAATCCTGGCAATAATGGCTAAAGAAAAAATTATGTAACATTCCAGAAGGCACTAAAAGAAAACAATTTTCTTAACCAATTACATTATCTTGAAGAGACTTATGAAATATAATGAAAAGGAAAGGTGAAAGTAAACAAACAGATCTGTTAATCTCCTTTTTTGTTCACATATTAAAACAATCCTCAACACATCCCCTCAGCCACTCCTGAAGGAGGAAGATTCCAGCTGCTTAGAGGTCACAAGGGCAAAATCATTGCTGCATTCCTCCAGCGAGCAGTCTATCCCTTGGAAGCACTTCATCTCTTCCCCCAGCAACTGGGAGCTCCCTGAAGAGGAGGAGGCTAAGGACCAGGATGACAGCTCCTCTGTGGCTCTCTGTCTCCTCACTCAAGGGCCCCCCTCCAAAGGTGGAGGCTTCCCAAAGCCATCAGCCCAGAGGGGAGGGCTCTGGTCCCAGCCCCCTCTCAATTACTTTCACCTAATTGCCCTGGCACTAAGAAACAGTTCCTGCTGTGGGTGGCCTCAATATGTAGTAGATCTACAGTTTCATTTGACAACACTTCCCCTTTTTCTGGACAGCACAGAACCAAAAGGCTGGAAGAATACTGTTCATCACAATCTCTGTTTCTGTGACAGCTTTGAGAAAGTGTCCATGTGATGCCCTTCCTCTTTAACCTTTAACTCTAAGAAGCAAAGTCTGCCATGCCCTACTAAAGTTTCTTTAAACAGCCAAAAAAAAAAAAAAAGACTTAGTTTGGAACATAGTGAGTCAAGAAAAAAATTGAGGATTAAAAGATTGTAGTGTATATCTAGAAATTCTTGAAAGTGGTAGAAGAAAAGTTGATGGAAAATGGTTCAGGAATTTGACTACTTAATATGGAGAAACAAAGATTAAGGCAACAGGGAAGTCAATAAAAAACACTCTTCATTCCCAAAAATAAATATTATATGGATGATTCTGATAAATTAGGTTTCTCTAAGGATGGGGAACTAATAATAGTGGATATTTAGATAAGAGGAAAAGAGGGCTGGGGTTGTGGCTCAGTGGTAGAGCCTAGCACTTGTGAAGCCCTGAGTTCAATCCTCAGCACCACATAAAAATAAATAAATAAATGTCTATCAACAACTAAAAAAAACATTAAAAAAAGAGGAAACAAAGTGCATTGGCTATAAAGTTTATTAAGGACAATTATAGAATTTTCCCTCTGGGATTTGAAAGAAATGAGATAGAGTGTTAAATTAATACAGGAATTTAAAGTTAGATTAGATTATCAAGATTTCGGCAGTCGCAGTTGTGCCAGGGCACCAAGATGTCGTTTCCAAAGTATAAGCCCTTGCGTTTGGCCACTCTACTCCCTACCCTTGACCCCGCTGAGTACACCAAATACAACATATCTCCGGAAACCCTGAAGGCGCAAGCTGAGAGGTTGGCCATAAGAGCCGGGCTTAAATGGGAGTATCTGCTTCAGTATAATGACCTCAACCGTGGAGGGCTCATTGAAGATCCTGCCTTAATTCGCTGTACCTACGCAAGATCAGAAAATATCTATCCAAATTTTAGACCCACTCCCAAGAACTCACTCTTAGAAGCTCTGTTTGGAATTGAACCCCTGTTCTTCTGGTATTATGTTTTCAAAACTTATAGGGATAGGAAGGAAAAACTTATCCAGGAAGGAAAATTGGACCGGAAATTTAATATTTCCTATTAAGTCTGGCAATGATTACTAATATATTCTTGCTTAATAAATCTTCTAAAAATCATTTAAAAAAAGATTTCCTCCCAACCCTTTTCTAAGATAAGTCAACATTTATTGAGTTCCCACTGTGAAACACCTTGTTTTGGAAACATTTCATAATTTTGTGACATGCTTAAGATTTGGGGTCTTGGGCTGGGGATGTGGCTCAGGCGGTAGTGCGCTCGCCTGGCATGCGCGCGTCGTTGGGTTTGATCCTCAGCACCATATATAAATAAAGATGTTGTGTCCGCCAAAAACTAAAAAATAAATATTAAAAAATTCTCTCTCTCTCTCTCTCTCTCTCTCTCTCTAAAAAAAAAAAGATTTTGGGTCTTATAACTGTGAAACTTTTTTTTTCTGTTCATGTGGTATTATAGGTAGAAAATGAGTAGTATTCTAAAATGGCCAATTCTGTCTCTCTTCATCTTTCTTTTCAGGTTGTGTGCTAGCCTTCTCCCAAAAAGCTCAGAGGCTGTTTGCAAGTATCTTGCCTCTGTTCTCATTTGCAACCCATATCTCACTGAATTGGACCTGAGTGAAAATCCCCTGGGGGACAAAGGAGTGAAGTATCTTTGTGAGGGTCTTAGACATTCTAACTATAAATTGGAGAAACTAGAGTAAGTTTCTTACAACTCTCTTGCATCATCTAATGATCACTTGTTGAGTGCCAGCTATGTGCTTGGTGCTTCCCAGAAGTTATCTCACTTTATTCACTACTTAGAATAAACATAAAGGGCAGACTTTCTTATCTGCATTGTACAGATGAAGACACTGAAGATTAGAGGAAAAGTGACTTGTTCAAAGTCATACTGCTAATAAGTGATAGTCAGGATGTGATTCCAACATATGTCTTCAAATCTGATATTCTTTGTAGTATACCACAGCTTTGTGTTTATAGGAATGACATCAATTATTAACTACATAAAATATACCTACTATGTATCCAAAGATTGTGGGGATAGATGTCAGTGGTGTTATCAGAAGTTCTTCATGTGACAGGGCTACCCTTAAGAACATAACAGATACGTAAACATATTGTGGAATCGTTTAATGTCAGATGAGCTCAGGAAGAGGATGAGGTCACTGTTGGCTGGAGACATCAGGAAGCGCTTCTATGAAGGTGGTGGGACACGAGCTGGAATTCAAAGGAGGAAGCAGGGAGGCTGCTAGGACATGCCCAGGAATCCCAAATGATGACAGTGGCTGATTTTTCTTTTCTTTTTCTCTGATTAGCTTAAGCAAATGTTACCTCTCAGATGTGAGCTGTGTGGAGCTCTCTTCTTTCTTGCAAGTGAGTCACACTTTAAAAGAAATGTTTGTGTTTGCCAATGTCCTGGGAGACAGGAGTACAGCATCTCTGTGAAGGTCTGCTGCATGCAAAGGGAGTAATTGAGAATCTTGTGTATTGTCTGCTTATCCTTGTCCTCATGAGCTTTTGCATTTGAGGGTCAGCAGGAATCCCAGCTGCTATAGTTAACAGCCATCGTGGTGTCTTCATCTTTCCAGGCTTTCTGAATGTTCCCTCTCTGTAGCTTCCTGTAAGCCGCCTTGCCCAAGTCCAGAGCTCCACCCGGAGCCTGACAAGACTGCTTTTGATTAATGACAGAATTGAAGATTTGGGACTGAAATTGCTGTGTGAAGGATTAAAACAGCCCGGCTGTCAGTTAAAGGATCTGGCGTAAGTATTCTGGACTATAGCCATAGGCAGTTTCTTGATAGTTGAGCAATTCCCCAAATTAAATATTTCTTGGCCTGGTGATTGAATCTCCAAGGAAGCAATAAATGAAGAGCCAAATAATTTAGAGGGAATAAATTATCCTTTCTCCACAATCACTGCTTTGCTCTGACCTAAGGGATTTTTTTCTAACGTGGCACTCTAATTATCTAATGTGATTTTCTGACGGGAAAACACAACTCCTATAGTGACCTGGTATAGATGAAATGTCATCAGCTTTCTCTTCCTTAATTATTGGCAGGTTATGGACCTGTCATCTGACTGGAACGTGTTGCCAGGATTTTTGCAATGCACTCTATACAAATGAACACCTGAGAGACCTTGACCTCAGTGACAATGCCTTAGGGGATGAGGGCATGAAGGTGCTGTGTGAAGGGCTGAAACACCCCTGCTGCAAGCTACAGTCCTTGGGGTAAGTGTATGGAGATTCATGTCTAGTGAATTTTGTTTTGTCTTTTTTTTTTTTTTTTTGTATCAGGGATTGAACCCAAGGGTGCTTGACCACCGAGCCACATTCCCAACATCCCCAGCCCTTTGTTATATTTTATTAGAGACAGGGTCTTGCTGAGTTGCTTAGGGCCTTGCTCAGTTGCTGAGGCTGGCTTTGAACTTGTGATCCTCCTGCCTTGGCCTCCAGAGTTGCTGGGATTGCAGGTGTGCATAGCTGTGCCTGGCTCTGGTGAGCTTTTGTTTCAGGCTGTTTATGAAAGGGAAGGCTAGTATGGAACTTGGGATTTCACAGATTTCTTTCTTAAATCTTCAAACCCTTCAGGTTAGCAGAATGTCACCTCACAGGTGTGTGCTATGGAGCCCTTGCCTCAAAGTCCTCAATAGAAATGAGAATTTAGCATTGCTAGACTTAAGTGGAAATGACCTCAAGGATTTTGGAGTGCAAATGCTCTGTGATGTACTGATTCATCCAATATGTAAACTTCAGACATTCTAGTAAGTCACTATGGTTGGGGAAATGGGCAGAGGGCCCTTTTCAGGACAGGCACATTGGGTTTGGTCATCATTCACTTCAGTGAAGAAAGAGAAGTAAAACTGAAGGCAGACAAAGCTTAGGCAAAATAATAAAGTAAGTGTAAGGGGAGAATCTGAGAACAGGCAGCCTTGTATCTTGCTACTAAAGGAAGAAGCATGGTAGGGGAAAGAGAGCATAGGATCTAGATTTTGCTAGGTCTGGCTCAAATCCTGGATCTTAACATCTACTGGCTACATGACCAGCATGCTAACTTAATCTCTCTGAACTTCAGTATCCTTGTCTGAAAATGGGGATGAAGCTGGTATTGACTACCCAAGGTTAACATGGGCATTGAATTTAGATGTACAACCTTTAGCACATAGGAGGTACTCCATAAATTTTAGGCCCTTTCCATTTCTACTTTTAATACATTATGAATGCTTAATATGTATATTTTAAGTGTCTCCAAAACTCAAGGGGATGAAGCTGTAGTTGTATAATTACAGAAGATGGAGGTCTTGACCCTCCCTGATCAGTGTCCGTCTGTCAACTCAGCAAGCTGGCATAACACACAAAGTAATTCTTAATTACAATACAACTGTGCTCTGTTGGTAATTAACTAGTGGCCAAATGGCCATTTGTTTCTGGCATTCAGAACTGGAACACATAATGGAAAATAAAGCCTGAACAAAAATTCCACATTCCAAAATCAATTTGATAGGTTGAATTGTAAATGAAAACAGCATAAAGGATGGATTACAAGTATGTCTAAAACAAAACTGGTTCTTTACCAGAGAATGAAGTCTGTTGGTTCCAAAGGCTCGAGAGTGTGGTGATTATTGCCCAAGCAGAGGTAATTATGCACAATATTACAAACCTCAGGGATTAGGGAACTTCATAGTGTCTCTTTCAAAAAGATGTAGATGGAAACTTTATTTTCAAGAAAGTTAAATAAACTCAGCTAAGGTTTATTTAAATGAAAGTAGTTTTAACGTGGCAGCACCCAACAGTGTGTATGGTGTGGTAAAGTTTCTAAATAATAGCAAGAAGAAATTATTTTGGGGGGCATGGTGTGCAGTTACTTGTTTTTGTTGTTGTTATTAGTTATAAATTGTTACACTATTTCCCATTTCTCTTATGTTTTAACCTATGTATTTTAACCTATAAGCTTTAATTATGTTTTCAGGCCAACTTTCAAACCCTCATAACTTGTCAATCCACAAGTTGAGAGCAGTGTGCAATTGTAAATTTGAATAGAAAATAAAGGACACACAAACAGAGTGGAAATAATATGTTGATTTCAAATAAATTTTGAGTGTTAGAATGTATACAAAACAAAATTGAAATCATTGGAAACAGGTACTAACCCAAGTTAGAGGAACATGTGGATCATTTAATATAGTGAGCCGGAAATGAGTCAATCAAAGAGAGCCTCCTAAGAATTGTCTTCTGTAGAAATTATAAAGGCTATAAGATGGTTATTTTCTATGAGCTGCTTCAGTGAAGGGTCTGAATCTTGTTCCTCATTATAGTTCCCCTGTAAATTTCCTGGCACACTGCTTGGAACTACATATAAGAAGCCAGTTAGTAATTTAGATCATCCAGGGCCAAAGCAAGAAGACAGTTATTATTATGTTCAATAAAGACTAAGTGTCTAGATGTTCAGAAGATCAAGAAAAATAAAAAGTGTGTCCTTAAAATGACAAAGCTCATCTTCAGTCATTCCACAAGCACTTATTCCATACCTCTTATGTGTCAGATTGATGTTCCAGGTGATGTAATGAAACAAGAATGAATAAGATATGAGACTTTGTTAATACTTTTCAGGGGCCAATGAGCCCAGTAGTAGAGAGATACCTAAACTCATTAAAGCAATGAGATAATCAACCAAGAGGTATTAAGGAAGCCATTGCAGGATACACTAACCCAGCTCAAAAGGGTCAGGGAAAGCTTCTTGGAAGAAAGGCCACAAGAGCTGAATGTTTATGACTATAGCTAGGGGAGGTGGGGGTAATGATGGAGGAGGGTAGTCCAGGCTTAGGAGATAGCATAAGGAAAGGTACCCAGACAACAAACAACATGGTTTATGGTTCATGATGAGAACAGGGGTGTGAAATTTCTGAGAACTTTGGCATTGCTGGAGCACAAATTGCTAAGCAGTATGTCAGTAAATGGGCCTGGGGAGGAGTCAGGACCCTCATATATCATATGTGACGAAGTTAGACCTGTTAGTAGAATTTGAGCATATATTCAGTCATCTCTTTATCCTACATGCTCCTGTAGTAATAGTACATTTTGGAACCACTCCTTATCCCATATTTCCAAAGCTAGATGGGAAATCAGTCTATGGTTGCTGCTGCTTCTCACTGATCCTTGGTGTTCATCTTGAGAAAGATCCTACCCATTCAAACAGAAGTAACTGAACAGTGATGCACTGGTTGTTCCAGGATCCCTGCTAGCCCTGCAGTGACATTACACTTCCACTCCACAGTTACAGATATTTTAATCTATATACAAATGTGCACTCATTGTTTCATAAAGTACCATTTGTGTCAGGGTAGCTGAGTGTGGAGGAGCTCCATTTATCACCACAGGTATATACATGCTGAAGGCTTCTCTTGCCCACCAAGGCCTTTGAGTGGAGCAATGTTCACCATTTAAGCCTTCCTCTTTCTTCAATTTTATTTTAGTCATCTTGGCCTCTTTCCCAGCCAGTGGACCTTGGATGAGATTCCCTAGCTCATCCTTGATACTTGTTCCTAATTTTAAATGTAGAAATAAAGGGTTGTGAGTTCTCTTTACTTCCAGAAGACATCTAGGCTTCCTGATAAAATTGCCCCTGCAAACCCAGTGATAAATGCTACCTATAACAACAGAAGGCAGCTTTTGCTAGGTCACTCAAAATATTCTAAAGGTGTTGTTATACTTGTATGGTATTAAATATACACCTACCATACAATTATATAAATGAAGCCATTCATTTTGCTTTTCTAGATAAAGATTAGTTTTTATCCACTAAAAACTATACTTCATTCATAATTGAAAGAGTTGTCTTTTGTAGTCAGTAGGTTTTAATCATGGATACATATATTGGGTTTGAAGTGCCTAAGAAACACTCAGGAAGTTTTCTAGTAGGTAGGCAGCTGGATACAGGAGTATGACCTGGGAAGCAATCATCTATGTAGAAATGATATCTGAAGTTATGGCAGTGGTTAGGATCTGTTAGGAAGAGTTAGGAGAGAAGAACATGAAAAATCTCTCTGGAGGAATAGGTCCTGAGCAATATCAGCTTTTAAGAGGTAGCTATGGAAAGGAAAAACCATGGAGAGAACCAAGAGAGAATGGTGTTCTTGAAGCCAAGGGGAAAATGAGTTTCAAGGAAGAAATGCTCAACAACATCAAATGCAGCAGAGAGGTCCATTAGAATGAGTACTGAAAAATGTGCATTGAATTGAGCAATTAGGAATTTATAAGTGACCTTATGAAATGATGTTTTAGTGGTGTGGTAGGGTCAGAAACCATATGAAATAACTCGAGAGAAGTAAGGAAATGGAGAGAGCAGAGAGTACTTTTTCAAGAAGTTTGTGAAAAGTACAGATGTAAGGTCACAGCTGGACGGAGGTGTGGGGCTGCAAAAAGTAGGGAGTTCTCTTTTTGCCTTGAGATAGGTACGTTTGTAGGCTGAAATAAAGGAGCCCATAGAAAGGGAGACATTGCAGCTACAGGAGCAGGAACTAATGGACTAATGGACAGGGGGTTGGACAAGGCAGGGACAGGAGTGAGAATCCAAGAGGAAAGGAGTTAAGGCTGGGGGAGGAGGTAGATAAATGAGCGGATGCAGTAACTGATTGGTGCCATGGAGCAAGTATGAATGGGAATGTTATCCTTTAGAATAGGAGAGTTGCTTCAAGAATTTGCTGGCCTGACTTTACTCAAGATTTTTTCTTTTTGTTTCTCACAGCATTGACACAGATCATTTACATGAAGATACATTTAGAAAGATGGAAGCTTTAAAAATGAACAAGCCTGGAATTACCTGGTAATTTCCCAGGAGAGCCTCTGAACTGACTTCATAGAGACTCTCTCCATTTGGTACCACCTTTAACAGATGTGCAGTATTGTTTTTCCAAATCTGTTAACCTTTGCTGAGGAATCTCCTATGAAACAAGTGTCAGTGATTGCCATTTCTTACATAAAACCGTCTACTAAATAGGATGTAAAAGACAGAAGCACCTTAGTTTAAATGTCTTCAGCAATAATACCTTATATTTATATATTGTATTACCATGTTAACTGTACTGTCACAAGAACCCTCTAAGGTGGGAAGGTTAGGTTTAGAAAAGTTGTGACTAACTCCAGGTTACACAGATCATTAGTGAGAGAGCTGAGGCTGGAATTCAGCCAGGTCTTCCAAGTCTCAGACCATGCAAAGAAACAGTAGGAAAAACATACATGAATGAGTCTACTTAAACAAGATCCTTGAATCGATTAAAAGACAAAGGAGTATACAAACATACATTATATCTTATGGTGCTGATTTTAAGTAAACTTATATTTCATGAAAGAGAGAAATGAGCTAGATTAATTGGGAAAGTCTCATGGAGGAGGTAAGACTTGATGTTGGTCTTGAAGAGTGAGAAGGATTGAGATAGACAAAAGTATAATAGACCTTGGTTTTAAGACTGCAGGGTGACACATGCCTGTAATCTCAGCAGCTCAGGAGGCTGAGGCAGAAAGATTGCCAGCCTCAGCAACTTAGTGAGTTTAAGGCCAACCTCAGCAACTTAGTAAGACCCTGTCTCAAAAAATAGAAAAGACTGGGGATGTGGTTCAGTGGTTTGGCATCCTTGAGTTTAATCCCTGGTACCAAAAAAAAATTAGAATTTAAAAAAAAAACTGCAAGGTTACATGGCTATTTTTGTAAGTATCTCAGTAAAAGAGAGAAGAGAGAAATATTTGCTTTAGAATTTCGTGAGCTACCATAGTATCCATACTACTACTAGGCTCCTGAGAGTGCTCTCCAGTTCCCAGTCTTAATTCTTTTACTGGACCTTTTAAAAAATATATATTTATTTTTTACTTGTAGTTGGACACAGTACCTTTATTTTATTTGTTTTTATGTGGTGCTGAGGATCAAACCCAGGGCCTTGAATTGCTAGGCGAGTGCTATACTGCTGAGCCACAACCCCAGCCCCAGCCCCAGCCCCTTTTTTCTGAACTTTTAGTATCTCATAAATGTGTTTGTATTTGTTCATGGGTTACCAAGACTAACACACTCCTCATTCCTGACATCTCACTTAGCCCAACAGTGATCATTCATAGCACCCTATTCCTATCTCTGCCTTGTTTCCACAAAATGTCAGATGAGACAAATGCAGAAATAGAGTGCCAGGCAAGGAAAATAGCAAAAACTCATTGAAATAGATATGAATGGAGAATGGGATCAACAGAAATAGGCTGGCCTTATTAAAGTGTAGAGTTGTCCCTGGAAGCTATTCAACTACCTGTGTGACCCTGAACAATTCACTTAGATTCCTAGAACCTCCATTTTCTTATCTATAAAATGGGATAAATTGATTTTAGCCTTGAAGGGCTGCTTCCCAATGTTTTCTTCTCCACAGTAGGCATCAATTAGTTGTACTTGTTTGTATGAGTATGTGTCTATAGTATCATTCAGCTGTGTAGTCTTTAACTCCTAGATTTTCTTTCTGTAGTAATCTGAGTTAACTTTCCATTTGAATTAAATATGTGCTAGAGGCAGTGAATCTAGTGGTAGAAGAAACAAAGTGAGACAATACTTCAGGTGAGAGATTGTGGAAAACCCAGCTGTTCCATGACCTCATCCATAATTGTATATTTTTTACCACCTCCTGGGAGATGGTAACTCTCAGTAAGGAGACCAGGCTCCCATAAGAATAATAATCAAAATAGTTTGTTCCCAGATTAATCAAGTTCCCTTTACTCATTTAACATATATTTATTGAATATTTATTATATGCCAGGATTTGTGTTAATGTTGGGTTTACAGAGATGGTTATGCCTTTCCTGAGCACTTCCCCCCTTTTGTATTCTCTGATTACCCTAGTTCCTCTGTCAGTCTGGTAAAAATATGATAAAACTCAGTCACATTAAGAACTTAAAGATATAAAGTTAAAAGAAAAATTGCAAAACTGTGTGTGTGTGTGTGTGTAAAAATCATGTATATGTATTTGTATGTGTCTGTACAGAAAAATGTATGGAATAATATATATGATTAATCACAAATACTGATAAGCTCTGGCAAGAAGAATTTGGCAAGCAGGGCAATAAATAGAATAGGAAAGAAACTTTTTATCTATACCCTCCTGTTCTACTTGATGTTTTTACCATGTACATGTATTACTTTTATAATTAATAGATTTGCTGTTAAAAATAAAAATCATACTGGTGAGTTATTTTTCTTCTTTTAAAACACTTTGTGATACTGGTGCAAAGATAGATATACACAATGAAACAGAATAGAGTCTAGAAATATATCTACCCTCATTGGACAATTGATGCAATGCAAAGAGATAATATTTTCAACAAATCGTGCTATAACAATTGGATAGGCATTTGCAAATGAATGGCTTTACATCCTTAATTCATACACATATTGGCTCAAAATATAGCCATCACGTGCTACCTGTCCCCTGCTTACCCTCCCTTCACTTTTTAAATATTTCAAACTTTCTCTTGCCCTTCTACCTCATTTTCTGTTTACTTAAGGAGCTGTAATTTTACTACCAGTTAGAACAAGGCCAGAAGCATCACAATCCCTGATCTCAAATTATACTACAGAGCTATAATAACAAAAACAGCATGCTATTGGCATCAAAACAGAGATGAAAATGAATGAAATAGAAGACACAGAGACAAAGTCACATAGTTATAGTCATCTGATACTTGGAAAAGCTGCCAAAAATATGTCAGAGAAAAGGCAGCCTTTTTATCAAATGGTGCTGGGTAAACTGGATATCAATATGCAGACAATGAAACCAGATGCTTATCTCTTGCCCTGCACAAAAGTCAAATCAAAGTGGATTAGAGATGCCAGAATTAGACCAGAAACTTTTTAACTGCTAGAAGAAAACACAATGTCAATACTCTATCATATTGCCAGAGGTACTGACTTCCTTAACAAGAAACCTATACCTCGAGGAATAAAACCAAGAATCAATAAGTGACATGGCATCAAATTAAAAAGCTTCTGCACAGAAAAGGAAGCAAGAGCATGAAGAGAGAACCTGAAAAATGGGAGAATAGCTTTGTCACTTACTCCTATGACAGGGAATTAATGCCCAGACTATATAAAGAATTGAAAAATCTTAACACACACACACACACACACACACACACAAAGCCACCAATCGATAAATGGGTAAAATAACTGAATAGGTATTTCTCAAAAGTAGAAATACAAATGGCTAGCAAATATATGAAAAAGTATTACACATTCGTAGCAATCAGTGAAATGCAAATAAAAACTACACTAAGATTTTATCTCACTCCTGTTAGAATGGCAATCCTTAATAATACAAATAATAATAAATGCTGGAGAGGATGTGGGGGAAATGTTACTCTCACACATTGTTGGTGAATCTGCAAATTAGTGCAACTACTTTGTAAAGCAGTGGGGAGATTCCTCAAAAAACTAGAAATGAAACTACCAAATGACCCTGCTATCCCACTTCTTGGTATTTATCAAAAAACAAAACCTCTAAAATTAGCTCACTTCAATGTTTATCGTAGCACAATTCACAATATCCAAGTTATGGAATCAACCCAGATGCCTGTCAACAGATGAATGGAAACAGAAAATGTGGTGTAGATACACAATGAAGTTTTATTCAGCCATAAAGAAGAATGAAATTATGGAATTTTTTGGTAAATGGATAGAACTGGAGAGCATCATGCTAAGTGAAATAAGGCAGATTCATAAGCTCAAGGGTTGAATATTTTCTCTCATATGCAGAAGACAGAGCAAAATAAGAGGAAAATGGAGAAGGGTGGATTCCTTAAAATGCAAGGGAGATCAGTAGAGTAGAAGAAGAGGTATGAGGGGGAGAGATGTGAAAAGGGAAGAACTGAAAAAAGAAATTGACCAAATTATGCTATGTACATATATGAATATCCCACAGTGAATTCCACCTTTGTATATATCTATAAAGGACCAATAACAACAATAAATGAATACAAGGAAGAGCAGTAGAGAAAGGATAACATTAGGAGGGAGGAGGGGAGAGAAAGAGAAAGCACTGAGGACTGAAAGGGAGCAAATTATGTTCCATGCATCTAGGATTATGTCAAAATGAACCCCATTATTATGTGTAACTATAATGCACTAGTAAAAACATTTAAAAATAAGCATATGAAAATACACAGCATCATTATTAAATATTCATAAATTACTCTCATTAGAAAATAAAAATATTTGTATGAGAGGTTGTGACACATTAATGAGATTAAAATGTGAATATTATGCCAATACTTGATATAATAAGCATCTACATCTGTAAAAGTTTTTTATAGATACTTAACTACTGAAATATAATAATATTAACATTTTTAAATAGCTAATATTTCCTAATGTTCAGTTTAGCCCAAGCATGACTATCCATACATTAATTTGTATATAATAATTTGTTTATATAATACAATAATTTGGATGAAATAATTTGTTTCTTTCATATTTAAAACATTACTATCCCAATTTATAGGTAAGAAAAGAGTATGAACAGTTTGTGAAACTATGGTTCATTCTTTTTTTTTAGTTTTTTTTTTTTTAGTTATTTAAGTGGACACAATATCTTTATTTTACGTTTATGTGGTGCTGAGGATCAAACTCAGTGCCTCAAGCATGCTAGGTGAGCACTCTACCACTGAGCCACAACCCCAGCCTCTCTATGGTTCATTCTTATGTGGAGTCCTGTGCATGATTCTCACCTGCACCCTTTACCTCTGCCCAGTGGTATCATGGAAGTTACCATGACTCCCAAATCTGTGTTACCCCTTGTGTCCTTTTGAATTAACCACATTCTGTTTATCTCTCTGATGCAAAATTGCATTCAGAGATTAAAGAATGCTGAATAGCTCCTCTTTCTAATGTTTTTCCATGGAAGCACATCGTCAGGTTGATCATTATTATTATAACATCATTATTTCTTAGGAAAAATGAAAATTAAAACCACCATGAGCCTCAACTACACACCCACTAGAATGGCTAACATTAAGGTTGACCACATTCAACATTTATAGTGATGAAACTCTCAAACATTGATTATGAATGTAAAATTGTATATCCAATTTGGAAGAAAAATTTCAGTTGTTCACAATGTTACTTACATACCTCATATCCAAACTATTTTATTCTTAGGTATTTACTCAAGAGAAATGAAAGCATATGTCTACATGACTTGCCGTGAATGCACATACTAGCTTTATTCACAACTCAAGTCCCCATGAGCAAGTAAATGGATAAACAGATTGTACAATATCCATACAATATAATACAGCAAATATAAAAAGAACAAACTGTTGATGCATGCAGCAATTTGAACGAATCTCAGAATAAATATGCTGAGTGAATGAAGCTAGGAGAAAAGGATACATACTGTATTATTTTGTTTTTATAGATTTCTAGAAGATTCAAAAAGTACTGTGTTTGTGACAGAAAGCAAGTAAGGGCTAATTTGGGAATAGGAATGGGGAGATGAAGAGATAGATCAAAGGGGCACAAAAAAACTTTTCTGGGTGATAGATATGTTCATTATCTTGTCTTTGTTGATTTCAGTCAAAAAATTTCAAATTGTATTTTTCAAATGGATTCAGTTTGTTATATGTCAATTATACCTCAGTCGAGCTATAAACACAAATATCCATACACATATTCATAAACATGTCTGAAAGAGTCATTTAAGAACATAATTTTCTAACTCCCTTATTCTACAGATGAAGAACCTGGGCTCCAAATAGGTCCAGGTCACACAGTTAATTCATGATAAGGCTGAGATAGGAACTTAAATATCCTTATTCCTGTTCTTGTTCTTAGTATACCAGAGGAGGAATTCAGATCAACATAATAAATTTCATTTGGTGGATTTTCAGGCTTTTGTGTCATACCAGTGGAAAAGACATACTTAATGACAAGTGGTGACTTTCCCAGGATCTTTTCAATAGTGTGCTGGAACTGACTTGTACTGATTCATGAGTACTGGTGGTTAATTTCCAAAGGAAGTTTTCAAGTTAGTGGTTGAAAAAAGTCATTATTAAAATTTAGATCATATAAGCCTACAATTAAATAAGTTACACTAAAATAAATTTAATGAATACTCAAACTCATCACTTCCTAATAATTTTACTACAATCTATATTATTAAAGTTATTTACATTTTTGTAATCTGTGTAATAGAAATATTAAATAACTGTGTTTTATTTTACAACTCTTCTCTTTTCCATTCAGTGACATCACATTGGTAGCCTGAAATTGGCCATAGTGGGAGTGTCTACACCTGATAAATTAACAAATATTACAAATCAGGGATCTCCTTCCTACCCAAAGAACTTGTTGTTAGACACTAGTGCATTTCTGCCTTGAAGCATCATTTTTCTCTGGCATTCATTTATGTCTGGACTGGAAGACAACCCATCAGTGCCTAAAGTCATGTTAGATAAACAATGGACCATCAGTAAGTGTTCTAGGGTAACTATCCATCCCAGTTTGCCCAAGACTTTTCTGCTTTTAACACTGATTATCCCAGAATATCCTTCAGCTCTGGGAAAGCCAGGATGATTGATCATTTCAGTGTTAACATACTTTTCAAAAATAGGAACCAGTTACTAAGGAGGCTGAGACAGGATGATTGCAAGTTTGAGGCCAGCTTGGGCAACATAGTGAAAACCTGTCTCAAAATAAAAATGAGAAGGGCTGGAGATGGAGCTCAGTGGTAAAGTGTCCCTGTATTCAATATCCAATACCACAACCACCAAAAAAAAAAAAAAAAAAAAGGAATCAGGTGAGTAAATCAATTGAAAGGTATAACATTTCTTGGAAAATTAGACCATCTATGAGATAAATAGTGGACACTATAATCCCATACATTAGATGGGGCTGGGTTTGTGGCTCAGTGGTAGAGTGCTTGCCTAGCATGTGTGAGACTCTGGGTTTGATTCTCAGCACTGCCGCAGTCTGGCTGGGCACAATTCAGGAGCCACTTGTCAAAAGAAACGAACTTTATTTTTAGAACCACACACGCCAAACAAAACCGCTCCTCAGGAAAAACCCTCAGAGCCCAACTGCCACCACCGGCTTCCCACAAGCCTCTCTCTCAACCACAAGCCTCTCCACCTCCCACAATCCTCCTGCTCTTGAGGCCGATTGGCTGGGTCGCGTGGGTGGAGCCAAAAAAGTCCCCCAAT